TGCTTGTACTGTGTCTTTTGCGACGGCGTCGAAAGCGTCTGGAAAGGAGAAGGCTGTGGGTTCACTACGGACTCGGAATGAGCGAGGAGAGTTCCATTCTTTAATTCAGGAGCTTCGGCTGGATGAGGATCGCTTTGAGGAGTACTTTCGGCTCTGTCATATTTGATTTCCATTTTTATAACTATAGTGAATAAACTGTATTAATGAATGAAATATTCAAGGTGTCTGAATAAATTTTGGTTTGACTGTACATATATATATATAACGTATATATACACACTAAGCAATAAAAAATGATAAAATGTGTCCACATTCAAATGTTCATTCAGATATGTCTGTTCCTGTTTCCATTGACACCGCGAACCATGCAGCTTTTTTTTAAATTTATTTTTATAATCTTTTAAAGATGTATTATATAAAATAGGACACTGCCCTACAGCTAAAATTAGCGCTTCCTCCATTTTTGAATTTCTGTACAGAGAGGTCACGCAGTGACGTATCGATCTTCTACTGGTCACACGTCTTCACGTGATGCGAATTCGCAGGTCAGAGTTCACCAAACTTGAACTTTGGAACGCAGCAAAATGCAAAATTTTTCGCATGAGTTTGCGTTTCCGGTCTGACGCATTCGCATGCGTATGAATGGAAGTCAATGGAACGAAAAGTGCAGTGTGACCGCCCCTTTATTCGCAAAACAATCTTAGTTAAAGTCTGCTAGATGCACTCAGCAAGACTCTTTCCTGAGCCTAGTCTTCAACATAAATCTGGAAGGGTATTAATCCAAAATACTTCATTTTATTTTAATTCTGTAATCATTAATTTTTACTTAGTATTCAAACCAATATTTAATGATTTTTGACTACTGTGTCTTATACTTCTGAGGTCATATGTTCTAAAATACTCACATTCATAGCCCTGGTTGAGGGTCCGGCATGTTGCTTGTGGTGGGCAGGGGGTGAGTTCACACCATCTCACCTCCTCACAGTGCTGCCCTGCTGTGCTAGGTGGGCAGTTGCATGTGAAGTCATCCCATAGAGAGAAGCACATGCCACCATTCTGGCAAGGATTTTTCTGGAATGGAAAGACAAAAATGACATACAAAACTATCAATTAAATGATTTTTAAAAGATATTTATTTATTAGTATCAAAAATAAGAAAAGGTTTAGAAGTAGTAAGATCAAGTGTTTGGAATTAGTAATAGCTTGTAGCTTGGAAAGCTTTTCTCCACTGGTTAAAACTACTGTCAAGCTACCCTTTAAACACTGTAGTTAGCTACACTGCTAGTTGCTAATAAAAGGCGGCTAACTACATTAAATCTATGTCAGGGAACAATATGTTTATAAATACTATCATATGATAGTATTCCTGCAATCACCACACCATTTTAAACATGATCAATTATATAGTGATGAATAGCAGCATACATACTCAGGGACTTACATTAACTGATTAATCGTTTATTGGATTATTGAATCAAATCAGGTTAAAAAAATCTTTTGAATCTGGCCAGTGTTTTGGATTAGTTTCTTGATTAACATGACCAAAGTCATCAAGCATTTATCTAGGTCAAAGAGGATAAAAGCCAAGTGAGATAAGTGGGTTTTGTCCATATATCTGCCAGATCTGGTGTAATGTAACCATTGTCCAGTTGCAGTTAAGAGCTCATGACACTTGAGGGCTCACGAAACATTGTAACTTACAGAGCAAGAGTCATCACTGGTGCAGCCTGCGGTAACGTCAACCATGCGGTCAGGTCTGTATGACATCACAGAAGCATCAAGTGGGAAAAATTCTAGCTTCCTCCCATTGAGCTGCAAGTCTTGTAAGCACCCTTTAAAATAACCACCGAAGGCAGATGTCTCTTGCCCATCAAGCAGTCCGCCAGCATAGACCACATCCTCAAACCGAACGGAAACAGGTTGAACATCCGTTGCTCCGAATTCATGATCTGACTCCTGCAGAGTCATCATGCCCTCCTTAATGGCGAGGCCGACAAAATGGATCTCACCATCATTAACCACACTTTTACCCATTAAAGTCTTCAAGTTGTTGACTTGTACCATGAGTTTTCCCTTTTCCAGCCACATCTGCAAGTACTCAGTGGTGCTGTTGGCAAGCAGTACCAAAAGACCAGACTCCTTCCGTGTACGCAAGAACATGGACAGATAGAGTGCGTCTGATTCCAGTTGGTCGGTGATGGTGAAGACAGCATAGCTTGCAGAGTATTCCTGGCCAAATCTAGCAGTAATGTACTCTGCATGAGAAAGAGAAGACATACAACTCTTAAAGAGTTTTTAGAACTATTCTAGTTTTTCTATTGCATCTTGGAACCTTAGAGGAAACATAAAGCATCTGCCAAGGTATATCCTGTGATCTTTTACATTTATTGCTAGTCTATCAACATGTCTACATCTAGGCATCTACAGAGTATCTCTGTTGTGCTTTAAAAAACAGACAGGGACTTCACAACACCACAGTGGATATTTCCAGTGTAGACATGGTTTATGGGAGATCAGTCCCTGGTGTTCTTACCCTCAGCACAGTTTTGTCCCACATACGGTCGCAGACAAGAGCACTGGTAACCTTGCCAAAGGTTAACACACATTCCATGGTTCTCGCATGGACCAGAAAGGCATCTGTCATGATGGCTACAGCCTTGCATGACATTTACCACTGAGCTGCTCAACCAGTCCTCCGGTACCATCAGCTGTGAGTCCACAAACAAGTCCCTCATGCAGCCAATGAATGAGCCAGAGCCCCCTCCCTCATTCGATCCTCCAACAAAGGTGCTTTGCAGCGCTGACTCCAGCTCAAGGGCAACGGTCTCCACTTGGGCTGTTGCACCACAGTTATCTCCATCCTGGCATGGCTCCAGTAGTTGTAGCAGCAGGGTACCCTCTCCAAGCACGGCCTCTACCGTGTGCCATTCGCCATCAGATACATCCTGAGGCAGTGTCAGAGTCCAGCTGGTTGCGACTGGCTGAGGGTCACTCCTAAGATCAAGAAGCAGGTGTGTCTCCTGCAGCTCCAGGCTGAGCGTGACCCCTTCGCTGCCCCTCTGAAAGAGCACTATGTTCTTCAGTACTGTGCGAAAGCTTAGCGTGATATTAAAGTATGTTTCCGCACCCAGCAGCGGGGTCTGCAGGTGCAGGAATCCTCCAACTGTCTCGAAGGAGAACACGGTGGGTGTCTGGCAGTAAGAGCCGGTGTAGCCCGGCTGACAGATGCAACTGTAGCCATGTACACCTTCGCTCAGGAAGGGCATGCAGGCCGCCCCGTTCTGGCACTCGTGGCCCTCGCAATCCACCAGGGGCTCACTACAGTTGTGTCCACCGTAGAGAACTCCATCTTGGCTTTCAGACAGGCAGATGCACTTGTAGCTGCTCAGGAAGTCCTCACATGTGGCTCCATTATGACACGGGTTGGTGGCACAAGCAGTAGTATTTTGCTCGCACAAGGCACCTAAAAGGGGAGAGCCCAGAGTGGAATTTAGTTCCTTACAAATAAACATTTAACAAAGATTGTTACTCAAGAATTAACTTTTCTCGCTGCAATTATAAAACAAGTTCTTATTGTTTTTTTAAGAGTTTATCCTTAAAACTATTTGCTAAATTTGTGCCAATTTTGTGTCTGTACCTAAAGAGTAGCTCATGCCAGGGATAACATGGGCACGTTTTAGTCAATAATCCCTCAGGACAACAAATATGCAAAGCTAGTTGCATAACACTCATGCAACTTCACGCCAGTATGACTGCCAACTGAGTTTTCTTATTGTTATTGTTACAATTTTCACTGAATGAGAATTTAGTTACTGGATAAGTTTAAAATGCCTGGATAAAACATTAAGGAGCTGTGAATAATGCATCATGAAAACTGTGAAAAAAAAAAAAAACAGTAGCTACACTGATGACCTAAAGTCACTGCAAGTTCATCGTATGTTTAAACAGAAAGACTTTTCACTAGCCTTTGTTTTTTAATTTTCCTCCAACACAACTTATTTCACCACTGAATTCACACTGCGAATGATCATACAATCAAAAAGAAAATTAAAAAAAGAACATCTGAAATCTTCAAAAAAGTGAAAATGTACCTGACATGAGCAACAGAACACTCCAAATCCAAACTAAAACTTCCATGGCATTAGAAGTCTACCATTCAGCTGCCACACATCTGTTCAGTCACACTGCTTTTTGATGGGTCCATCTATAGCAAAGGCCATCCTAACAGACAGCCGTCAGTGTACATTCCTTCCTTCAAGAAAAACTGTAGATTGCAACAGGCCCCCATCAAAGCCAGCTCCCGGGGGATTAGCTTAATGCAACCTGAGCATCTTACAATGCGAAGCCCAATTATAGCCTCCGCCTCTGAGTCATGTCCTGAGCTGGTAACCTGATGTTCAGAGAGACATACACTTTTGTATAATCTAAAAATTAAAAATCATAATGCAGTTATATGTTTAGTTGTTTAGTCTGGGAACCAGTAGAGTGAATTTATGCTGAAAGATGTGTTGTATAATGCATGATTTGGTTTCGATTATGCAAACTGGATAGAAACCCAAGTCAGTTCTGATGTATAGTTGCAACAACCTGATGATGCTTATCATATGCTCATTATAGGCAATATTTTGGCCAGAATTTAACCAGGCATTAAAAAAGTTAGGATTTATTGATTCTCTGACTCAGCTGTCCATCGGTTATTGATTTTTAAAGACTTTAGAGCCTTTACAGTGACCTGTTGATCTTCTTGAGACAGTACTGGATTGTTAACCCTTTCCTTATTTAAACTATTTCTTTCAAAACCGTCTGATTTAAGGACATAGGATTAAATAGTCATATATTTGAAACCAATTTCCTGGCATAGGGTGTAGAAAATGTATGCAAACTGGACTCTGGATTGGCTAGCACATGTCCACAAAAGAAACAAATCAAATCAAATCAATCAATCAATCAATAATACGGGCGTATATAAGAAAATGTGCTGAGATACATGAGTGGCACTAACACAAACCTCTGAATAAAAACTGTCTTGATCCTAAATTTAAACAGTTTCATATTTGTGACCCTTGACCACAAAACCAGTCTTAAGTCGCTGGGGTATATTTGTAGCAATAGCCAAAAATACATTGTATGGGTCAAAATGATTGATTTTTCTTTTATGCCAAAAATCATTAGTATATTAAGTAAATATCATGTTCCATGAAGATATTTTGTAAATATCCGCTTTTTGTCGAGATCTCTGCATGGTTTATTACACATGCCATCTGGACAGGCCTCATCCTGGATCAAACAGACTCTAACTGGAAGCTCCCAGTCAGTCTTTATGGTTGATATGCAGCCCACAGCTTTTCCTTCACTTGATCAAAAATGTTTTTCAATCAGATTTGAATCGTGAATTTTCACATCCAGTAAGTTTGAAGAGATTGGGGCTTGTTGTCACAGAAGGAAGTTGGTAAAAGTTCAATTAAACAATGCTTGTTTTCTCTTGCAAACACCTACTTCAAAAACCTTTTTTTTTTTTGTGAATTCTGTTCTTCAAACTAAAACCCTAATATCATCATTTTAATAATTATTTAGGGTAACACTTGATTTTAACATGACAGTCACACTTTACGTGTACTTACTATAGTAATAACAGTAAATTATGCATAATTACAAGAAACTAAATCGAAACCAAACCCTAAACCTACAGTAAGTACATGTAGTTAATTAAGGGACAGGAAATTTTTGGCAGCAACCAAACAGTTGACAGTATATTGACTTATTTTGTTTGCCATACTATGGAAGTCAGTGGCTACCGTCAACTGTTTGGTTATAAACATTCTCCTATATATATATATATATAGGGTTAAAACATATTACAGGAAAATAAGTTTAAACTTGATCACTTCTCTAAGTTATATTAAACTAGATCTTTGCATGTTCAAAAGCAAATGTCAACAGTCTTCCATAAAAGAATGTTAGGATGTTCTCCAGGGTTGCATTTCAGGCTGCAGTACAATCATTCACCACTAGATGGCTGCTTTTGGCACTACTCGAGACATTCCACATGTCAGTCTAACAGGTGAGTCGCACATGGCAACAGTGCAACTGACCCTCCCTTCCTTCACTTACCCCTGTATCCTGGCCTGCAGAGACAGATGTAGTGCCCGATCTTGTCCAGACAGGTGGCTCCGTTCCTGCAGGGCCACGACACGCATTCATTTACCTCGATCTCGCAGTGTTTACCCTGGAATCCCGGCACGCAGAAGCAGATGGGGCCTTCCCTTCTGCTGCGGCAGATGGCACGGTTGCGGCAGGGGTTGGGGGAGCAATGGTCCACCTTTTTCTCGCAAGAACTCCCGGTGTAACCCTCTTGACAGATGCATGCGTACCCCGGGCTCTTGTCTTGCACCGCCAGACATTGGGCACTGTCCCCGCACAGCCCCTGAGCGCAGAGCTGGGCACTGGAATGACAGTCCTGCCCCAACAAGCCGGGCTCACACTGGCAAACTAGTTCCCCTGGGTGGGCGCCGGTGGGCTGACATGTCGCATTGCCCTGGCAGATGGACAGTTGGCAGAGCGCACTGGAAGAATCGCAAGGCGTGCTGGGCGCAGGCCACTGACACTGGCACAGGAAGTCAGATGGGGCTTCCCTGCACGCTGCCCTGTTTTGGCAAGGCTTGTCCAGGCAGAGCGTTGAGGTCTGTAGAAGTGTTAAACCTACAAGGATTTGCAAAAAACAACAACACACTTATACGTGTAGAAAGTTTTCCCTGCTTCCCTAATGTACATGGGACAAAATGCAAAAACATAGAGGCTTCAGAAAACTTGCCTGATGCCAATTGTGTGAAATTTGCATACTTTTCATTAAAAATTCTGCTTTAAAGTATCTCGTTTTGCAATGCAGAAGTAGACTATTTTCTGTGAATGTGCAAGATTCATTAGGTACTATAGGTAAATAACTAGAAGAATAACAAGTGCAGTAAATAGTAAAGCTTTTTATGCTACAAACCAGTGCGTTTATGATTATGACAATAAAATAAAATAACATGATAACAAATACCAGTTTGCAATTTAAAGCAGCATAACAAGCTGTTTTATACAGGTAAAATAACTAGCGAATGACACCGGAAGCCTTGCAGATTCAAGCTACAAATGACTGCGGCCACTCTTACGTTAAAAATAAGGCGGATAAAATCCTAAATAAATATGTGTATTCAACTAAAGCCCAAAGTATACTTCAAATTTCAAATGTATTGGTATTTTTCCTTTCACAGTACACATTGTTTCAAAGTAAATTTACAAAAAATTATGATGTTGACATTTATAATATCCTAATATCTTCTCCTTATAGTTGCATTTAGCAGATTAGAGCTGGAAAATATAGTGTACATTTTGCGACAATACAAGTAATCATGCAATTGAGATATGATGTACAGTAAATGTCACCTTACATAAATATACTGTATTTATGTGGATAAAGTTTGACATATCTAGGAGCTGGGCGATAATATGGTTACATTTTGTGACAAAATAAAAAGGCAATTGAACTTTGCTTTATACTGTATTGCTTTACTTTAGTTTTGATGCAAACTCTTGGCATAAAAGCCTTTCAACCTATACTTTATTTGAGCTCATGCCCAAACACAGGTGCTTGACACGTTCACTGGAAAGTTTCATTCATGTTGCAGTGTCTGTAAAATTGCACACTTCCCCTTTAATTCTCCTCTAAAAGCTTGCTAGTGAAAGTATAACAACCTGAATTTTTTTCTGAACCACTGATGTCACATGGACTATTTTAACAATGTCCTTACTACCTTTATAGGCCTTGAATGTGTCAGTTCCGTTATTGTCTATGCAAGGCCAGAAAGCTCTCGGATTTCATCAAAAAATATCTGAATTTGTGTTCTGAAGATGAACGAAGGTCTTACGGGTTTGGAACGACACGAGAGTGAGGAATTAATGACAGAATTTTCATTTTTGGGTGAACTATCCCTTTAAACTCTGCCCCCTTTCTTTCAATTGTCTGCAAACTTGCATTCAGATCTGCCTCAATCAGTAACCAGTGGTTTGAACCAAACCCCTGGACTAATTTTTTTTTTTATATTCAGATATATGTCACAATACGGAAGAAAAGGTCTGTCCGCCACATCACAACTTTAAGATAATTGCAAAAGACAACCTCTGTTGCACAAGATAAACCTAAACCGGTTGCGTGCACAAATTCTTGCAAACGTCTTACCATTTTAAAGATATGAGAAATAATTTAACATTAAAAAACTGCCACACTTCAACTTCAGCGACAGTTTATGCATATACCTGACTGGTCAGACCTACACACCGCAGGGCCTGGATAGCTTTAGATAAAGCACATATATAAAAGCCTCCTTCCTGTATTCAGCTGGTCATTCTCAGAAATGCCAGAAGAAACAATGCTCTTTTATCTATCCAAAAAACGGCTTAACCTCTGTGACAGCCCTATTCACGGCACTCGCAGCGCAAGGACGTTTGCAAACTTTGGAGTCTCAACAAAGCATCAAATTATGTCCCCATAGCAACGAATTCCACACATCCAGCTTTCCTTTTGCAGGGGTTGCTATGGAAACCGGCAAAAGACATAAGTCAGTCATTTAGGGGGTGTCTAGAAACCCCATTCAAACCCTGCAGTCTGCAGTGTATTTTTATTACAGCCTGTGCATTGAGACAAAGGCTAATAGTGCAAGCAATCATGAGCGCAATTTGGCAATGTTGTTATCAGGATTGCCTCTCATTCAAATTCAGGGGCCGTAGAGAGGAAACGCTTATAGATATTTGCTGATATGTAGGTTTATCAAAGTCAAGTCTTTAGGCTATCAAAGCAATGTAGTCTATAACTTTTGAGTGTGTTAAACACTGCATTTCTTTTACTTTCAAATCAAATGTTGATATTTTAACATGTTCACCAGCTGGGACCCGACTTGTCTGTTTTGGGGGATTCCGGTAAGATCAGCTTATAGGAAGTCTAGACCAGTGCTCAGCAATGAGCCCACACACATCCCAAAAACACAAGGATGTCAAACCATATGTTCATATAAACAGCACTCTTTAATTCTCCTAAGATAATGCAAAGCGTCAAACTCAAATGTTATACTATGGTAAAAATGCACACATTTAAATGCCATTTTCGCTTGTGATGAAAGCAAACCCCAATCCTTTTAAATGTGCATAGTGTCCAGAAAATGAAAAGCGCAGCTCTGTTTCTAAGTGTCTGATGCAAAGGCTTTTATGTTCTTAAGTGCCACTGCGGTTGATGCGTCCAGGGTTACGATACCCCTGACCACACTCTTGCAGAGCTGTTTCAAAGCAAAAGGGAATAATATCAAGCTATCAGATAGGCTTTTCCATCCATAAAAGAAGAACATTTGCATTTAGTAAATATATACACACACAGAAAAAACATCATGAAGTGTTTGACTTTACATTTTTAAAAATCACCTGAATAAACACTATGTACAAAAAATTTAGTTGCAGGTCAATATGAATACATTTTTTAAATTCTACAAAAAAAAAAAAAAAAAAAAAAATTGTTTTTATAATTTTGAAACAACGCAAGAA